CTGTTAAAAGATAGGATACTAGTAGCAAGATTGAGGTACGAAAATAAATGTAGGGGTAAGGAGTAGAGGAAAGGAGGATAAAAAGTGCAGATCATGCGAAGAAGAAGATTATAGACACATATTAAAGAATTGCAGGGATGTAGGAAATAAGGAAGGAATAGAGAAAATAATAATCAATGATGCAAAAGAGATAGAGTCACTAAGAGAAGTTGTTCGAAAAAGAAAGGAGAAAGAATATAACTGAATGACAAAGAAAACTGAAAAAAGTTTGAAGTAGAGAAGATAAATGGACGAATGGCAAGACAAGGAAGAAGGGAAGAAAAAGAGAGTACAGTGAAGAAAAAAAAATAAAAGAAATTAAAAGTACAAATTGAAGCAAGAAGAAAAATATTTGAATTTCTGAATCTAAAAATTTTTTTTTTAATTTTTTGATTTTTTTTTCTTAATTTTTGAGAGTTATAACTTAATCTTGTTTGTTTTCTATGAATGATTGTATAATATTAAGGTAAAGTAAAATTTGAAGTATATGCAAATGGAATTTAAGATCATATAGGATAATATAAAAATTATTAAATTATTATGTAAAAAGGAGGTTAAATGTGTAACGGAACCCCTCCGAATCCAAAAGGGGTGAAGTATGAAATAAATAAATAAACAATCGTGATGTACATTTATTTTATTTATTTAGAAATTTGGATCAAAGTATTATTGAAGAAAAATGATATTTTAAAATTTTTTAATGATGAAACTATAAAAAGTACAAAAAAAACCTTAAAAAATGTATTTAACGATAAGTCACCTCTTGATAAACATACATGTATATGTATATATGTATATATATTGCATCATATGTTTACTAGTGGGGCTTTGCCCCCCTGCGCGCTTGGCGCGCTAACCCCCTACAGTTCTAACTTAAACGGAGAGTCCTTAAATTTTATCTGTTAGTGGGAAGAGGTTGGTGCCCAGAATTTTGTGAGGAAGAAGAGTTTTTGATTCATATCGTTAAGCATTAGTTATATATTTATGAGTAAATTTTCATACCACCCAGAAGGTACTATTGTGGTACGTTAAAAGTTTCTTTTACACTCTCTGTTATGTTTATGGAAAAAAGGTACATAAAAGCTTTGATAGTTTTGACAACTTTTATTTAACTTGAATATGATTGAAAAAAACAGTCCTGTTAATTTTCTATCGATTGCTGATACTGCCATAAATTAACAAGTAATTTTATCAATAAAAAATATCATCATATGTTAAAATATTCTTTGATTCTATAAAAAACACTTATAGAGCAATGAAGCTTTTGATGAATTAGATAAGCTAAATAATAACTTTCATTTTTTTTAAATAGTTAGAGAATATAATTTTTGCTCCAAAATAGCTATATAAATATTCACCCCCCTGCGCACACCACGTGCCCCAACCCCCAGTGTCCAAGTTTGAAAATTTTTTTCGTCAATCTTTAATTACTTGAAATTCATCTGTATTACTTTTATGTCATTTTTTTTTAAATAGTGAAAAACAGCAAATGTAAGAATTTATTTACTTTATTATTTCTTACTATGTACAAAGATGAATTTGGGAAATCTTTGCACATATTACATTATCATTTATAAATTTTAAAAAATATCATAAAATTTGCTAATCGTTTCACTTTTCCTTAAAAACGCTTTCGTAAAAATTCTGAAATAAATAAAATAATAATACAATACCTTGTTTATTAATACCATAAGATAAGATCAAATTTTAGCATTTAAATTTTACTTAGTTTCAGGCAATAGGTAAGAGACAGTTAGGTTCTTTTAACTAAGATATTATGTATAAATATCAATAAAGAATATTGATTTATTTAAAACATGTACAAATTTATAATATACACAAAACAAGTATACATGTGTATTGTTATAGATATTATCAGAATTTACGATAGGGTGCGGGGAGTTCTATCTGTTTGTTGTTATAATAGAGCTTAATTTGATAGGTTATTCACTTAACCTCTTAAATTAGGTGGTACTTTCACGGTTATTATTATTTATTAATCATGTAACGTTCTAGTTTACCTATGTAGTTGTATAATATCATAAATGTACGTATAGGAATAAGCGAATGTTACATTGTTTTAAACTAATAGTAGCATTAAGAAAGTTAAATGCACCGAGAATTTTATACTAAATAATGAGTTCTAACAATTTGGTAATCATTATATTATGAATTTAAATAAATTACTTTTTAACAGCATTACATAATGAATATGGATTTTATGTTTTATTCATTTGTTTAAAGTGTATCTATTTGCCTCCTTGGCGACGTGGAAAAAAAAAATTGGAAATTAAAATTTTAGAAACTAAGATAAATTAAAATTTATTGTTAATAGGGGTGATTTTGTTAATAGGGTTAATGGTGTGGGGGACCTGTAAAGGGACTGTAAGGGGTCTGTAGAGGGACAGACAAAATTGTGGGGGGCTATGGAGGGGCTGTGGGGGGAGGGGTGGTGGAGGTTCTAAGGAAAAAGTTAGAAAATGTTAAATTAACGATGAAAACGGTCGAATTTTAGCTTATTTGTGGGGGGCTGTTGGGAGTGTGTAGGGGGTTTGTGGGGAGCTGTGAAGGGTCTGTGAGGGGGCTGTGGGAGGAATATGTCAAATGCCCCACAAGAACAACTATGAAATATAGAGATATATATATACATATATAAGATGCACTGCACCGACTGCGCGAATTGTAAGTAGACGCACGTAGTACACAAATTATTAAGACTTACTGTGGTACCAGAAAATTCTGTACCACTGTCTCTAAAATACGTATGCTAGCATAAGTATTAGATAGACACATCAGATGTTTTTAATATAATCTAGGACAGTCTTAGAAAATATGTGACTAGTTGTATAATGTAAAGAGGTGGTATATTATTTTTTTATCCTAATCGTTTCAGTTACAACTTCAAATATACATAGTTATATTGTCATTCCTTCGTATTGCTTCTGTCACTCACACGCATCCCTTTAAACCTACATGTACATGCTTTTTCTTCCTAATCCTCTACTACTTTCCACTTTCCCTCTCTGCCTCTATCTCACTGTCGTTGTTCTCTCAATGTCTCTCAACCTGGTGTCGCTCTTCCTAACCCACGTTTTTACCCCACCCTTTTTCTACGTCTGTTTCAGCTACCTTTTTATACCAGGGTCCTCTCTGCGTGCTTTCGATGTCCCTTTACTACGTTGTCTCCTTATGCACTATGATACCACTACCCTATTCTCATTTTATCTCATTCAAAATTCTGTTAATAGATACCTAAACTCGTCCCTTTATCCTACATCTTGATTCTACACATCTCTTTCTCTCTTTCTCTCACGCAAACTATACGTCTCTTTTTCCTTGCTTACTTACACACCCTCGACAAAACGCATAAAAACTCGGAGTCTTGCACTTCCGACCATGCACTCGTGACTCTTGAACCTTCATTACTTTCTCTCTCTCTCTCTCTCTCTCTTCTTCTGGTACACAGATATATACACAATCTGCTTTTATCCCTATCCTCTACTTTTGACCTGTGTCTGGGATTCTACTGGCAATCGTTAGCCAATAAATGATCCAGGAAGAGAGGTGGGAAGCACACTACCTTTCAATTCTTCCAAGTCCTTGATAACCACGTGTTGAACATCTTACGGGTTCTCGGGATGCCTAGTGGTCCTTGGGGCTTTGTATGGTCCACCAGATTGCTCTCTTCAGCTAATCCTAAATTTTTATTTTACTCTCTTTTTCTTTATCAACTCGACTCCAGAAAAGAACGTGCGTCAGAAAGAAAATAGTGGCACTTGCAAAGTTTTTTCTTTTTTTCCCAAATCTCTCTTTTCTTCTTTCTACTACTATTAAAGCTCTCTCTCTCTCTTTCTCTTTAAGTTCGTAAGTACGGAATGGCTCTTGAATTAAGGCTTAATCAGTAGGCCTCTTGCCTTTTTTGCAACCACAGCCGCTAACTCTACGGTCTCTTTCCCTCTCTCACTCTTTTATCATCAGTTGCTGTCAGAACAAAGTTACACGCATGTCCATTTGTGCTCTCTAGTCGCTGCTACTACCGTTTTCTGGCCTCCACGTTCTTATGTGTTGTCTTTCTCTCCTCGTTACCCAGGAAATGGTAAACAAAAAAATTATTTTACGAATGTGAGCATTTATGTGTGTGACTTTTATCTTCATACACATTGCGTCCGTGAAAGCAATGCAAGCATGGATGTCAGACTGGTTTGAGACTTATGAACACCATTGATTTCATTTTATATTCATTAAATTTGACTTCATTTTATTTCCTATTCTTGGTTTTAATTTAGTTTCACACTTCACTGCACTATCCTACATCAATTTAAACATTAAGTCCCGTCAACAGTTGTTATCTATTATATAGTCCTGAATAATCACTAGGGTAGAAGAAAAATAATAAAAAATATCACTTTTGGCAAACCTAGTACCTGCGTTCCTTGTTTAGATAAGGAACGCAGGTATTAGGTTTTTTCAAAGGTGTTACAAGTCGCTGCTGCTGCAGAGCACTTTGACAAGACAACCACCTATAACTTGGTATTTTCAATGCGTTACTTAAATAACTTAAAACTACTAACCGTTGCTAATATTAACTGATATACTAATAACATACATACATAAAACAAGCCTACGGTTTATAAAAAAGATTGTAATAAGTGAGGCTGAAGTCGTCTATTGTCTAATTTAAAAATAAATTTTTATTGTTTTTTTTTTAAGGCCATAATACAATTTAATTTATAGTACTATAGGTTAAAAAAGTTGGTTGAGTATAATAGCAACGATTCATTATGTAATCTTATCTAAGAACTCTAAAGGATATAATGACAGTTACTTAAGTATTTTTTTAAGTATCATGATTAAGGTTGTATGTGCTCTATAACTTAAGCAAATATTATTGTACCAACTTGTACGTTTGTGATGCTTCCTGGAGTGTTGTACCTAAGTACCGTTTTGTTTTTTCTTTACAGTAGCTTGCCAGTCTATATTCAATGGATCAAATACCTTTCCTGGCTACTACATTCCACAGAAGCACTTACTATCATACAATGGCATGATGTTCAAAATATTTGTAGGTATTCATAAGCATTTATTCTCTTTTATTGTAACCTCGATTGAGCATCTATCTTTTTTTATTATTAAATACAGTCCATTTTCATCGTTTTCTAGAAGCCTTTAAAAAACAATACAATTTTTAAATTCTTACTAATAGTCTCCAAACTGTCATTTATACACTAATACTCGACTAGATTTTCTGTCTTAAGCAGAAATTCCTGGAAAATTCAGGTGATATATATTTTTTTTTAAACTTTATCGCTTATGCCCTAGAGCCTGATAAATTGGATACTTAGCAGTCTTATTAAGTCGAAAAACATTGTAAATATTCAGAGAAACAACTTGACCCAAGTAATTATTGTTTATCTCCTTAGAATCGTACTCCGAATGGATTAGTTTAAAAAAAAGAAGCTCAGTTTTACCCTTACGTACCTAACTTATTAAGGGCTATCTTTTTTTTTAACTATTTCTTCACAAACATGTCTAATAATACAGTAATTTTTGTATCATTAATACAAAATGTAAAGAAAGAAAACGCCAAACGATGTAAAAAATTTTGTTAGGATTTTGTAGTGAGTCACGTGTTACATCTCCGGTTGATACAGACAAATCATACAATGAGTAAAAACGCTATTTCATTTTTCAAATTAATACCAATGTATCATGTACATACACAAACTCAAACGACAAGTAATGTTTATACGTCACTTATATACCCGTGTGCGTATGAGTTTTGAGGCAAATATTTCATGACATGCTGACATATAGTACAACCAACCTTGTTGTGAGGATGTATGTTTTAAAAATGTTCGTTACATGTATAAATGCTTAAATTTTATTGTACGTACAAATTTATACACATATATAAACTTACTGTGTAATATATGAGTTTTTTGCACAATTATTGTTTATTTCTTATAATGTATACCAATTTAAAAGTTGTAATAAGCCAATTAAATTATTATATTCAGAATTGGTTGTAAGATCCCCAAAAGCCCTAATTGCCGAATTTGCAAACTTCTTTGTCACACTTCTACTTGTATTTGATGTTTCTTTTATTCCTAATGGAGGCTTGCATTACCACTGATTCAAAAATTTTAATCGCAGTTGTCAGAAAATTGTGATTGATACTATCGTATTATTATTTCGTAATACATAAAATCATAACATAAAGCATTAACGTAAAAGCATACTGTTTTGCTGTCAACGCAGTGAGCAACAATATTGCACATTGGTTGACCTAATTCAATAAAAGTCCTCTTTTACTCTCTCTGACACTATAAAAATGCACCATCAAAAAATAAATCGTTTTTTTTACGTGTATTACCTGTCCTCTAACGTTTTAGAAAGCTTTTGACTCCCATAATTCCCCAATATAGACGTAAGGAATGACGTGTTGACTAAGGCAACTCAGGTTCATTTGAAAAACATCTATAGTATCAGACTACGGTAAGAAGTGTAGTACAACGAAGGAGGTCCACCGAAAGTAGTTCTAGCGATAGAAGAGAAAGAAAAAAACCACAACATTCTTTCAGCCACGAACTCAATCGTATCGTTTAAGGGAGAACTGAAAATCACTGCACGAAGTATTAGAAATCTCCGAAGCAGCAGTACGAAAAAACAGTGATGGATTTAAGTTATTTATCAGTGATATAATTTATATTAACCCTTGTTAAAGTGACCCAAGAAAGTTGTATTTCGAAGAATAATTATTTTTCAACTGTTATGATAAAAGAGCACCTTTATAAAAACTATGCATGTCATTTAAATAAAGATTTTTTATTCATTTTACCTCATTATTACAAACAAATAAAGCTCATCAGCCTAACCTTAAGAGTTTCACGAATGACACTAAAATAAAACTGTTAAGACTATACTCTAAACAAATGCGGTCATAATACGTTCATTTTTTTTTCTTGTGCTAGTACATAGTTGCACACAGTTCTCAAGTATACGGCTGATCATGGTATACCTATACGCGGCTACAGTGTGGACAACTTTTGCAGATAACGTGCTCCATATGACCACTGACTTATGGTCATGCTACTTTTATATTATTTATCTTATAAGTCACAATATGAATACTTAAGAAGCATAATCTACAACATAATTTGTTGCTTTGCTGGCTAATTACGAGTACATCCTAAGAAATATGTAATTCTTCTGCCCATTCTTCATCGTAAAAAAATAACTCTGTTTTAGATGGAGAAATAATTTTCTCACATTTTTTTTGTGGTTGCTTCTTTAAAAAAAGTTTTTTCATTTCTTTTGTCGAACGTTTGTAGTTTTTGTCTGTACGACAAAACACTAAAACTCTTTAGTTTAGCAAAACACATTCTTCAACATCATTTGGTAAATGATCAACCCTTGGATATCTTTGTCAAACTTGCCAGCTGCTTGGCCAACCATAACCTTCAACAGCAATGAGTAATCTATTTTCTATCCTAGATAAATGAAATACTTCATGTTTCACCAAAATTAAGATTTTCCATCACTTGTAAGTATCCCAGAAAAGTTATTATAGTTGAGCTTAACCCAGTATTATATAATTTTTTTATTAAGTTACACATACATAGGTGTACCGTACGCAAGAGTTAACCAATGACTGCAGAATTGTGACCTTAAGAAAGCATGTTACAAAGAAGAATTATTAACCTTACCTTTTCTGCCCCACCAGTCTAGTACCTGAAATGTAAAGAAAGTAAAAGTTAAATTTAAATACTTTTCATTTGACTAATTAGTTTGGAAGAAAAAAAAATGTTTTTTCGAGAATAAAACTCAAATCCTTCTGTATTCTAAGAATCTATTTCCTTTTCACTACTACGATATCTTTTACTCATCTTTTTTTATAGAGTGGCTTGTAACTTATTTTTGCTGTACTAGAAAATTCTCTCTTTAAAAAAAGAGATTGTTAAATAACTAGCAGCCCCCCGTCTCGGCTTCGTTCGAGACTTACTAAATAAAACACCGTAGTGTGTTGACATGTAACGTGAAACATTTTAAGTTAGAAATTTTATACATATTCCTGATATATCTCAGAACAAAAGTCTTCTTATTGAAAACATATTTTTTCGGAATCCATATAGTTTATTTGGTCAAATAATGTGTTAAAATTCGAAAAAATAATTATGCTGAAAAGTACCATGCGTTCTTTATGCCATAAAATAATTGGTGACCAGAGGAAGCCGTTGATTTACAGTTTCTCCCGTATAATTCACGAAAACGGCTATTTTTTAAAGCTGTTAAGATTTTAAACCCCCAAAAAATTTATGTAAAAATTNTGACATGTAACGTTAAACATTTTAAGTTAGAAATTTTACACATATTCCTGATACATTTTAGAACAAAAATCTTCTTATTGAAAACATATTTTTTCGGAATCCATATAGTATATTTAGTCAAATAATGTGTAAAAATTCAAAAAAATAATTATGCTGAAAAGTACCGTGCGTTCTTTATGCCATAAAATAATCTGTGGCCATAAGAAGCCGTTGATTTACAGTTTCTTCCGTATTATTTACGAAAACGGCTATTTTTTATGAAGCTGTTAAGATTTTAAACCCCCAAAAAATTTATATTAGAAAAAAATTTTTTTTCTTATATCTCACAACTTTATTACCTGGGTCCGTACCATATAACTATTTTTCTGTACATCGGCTTATGTTATAACGTAGGCCCGTGAAGCTAAAAAAAATTATTTGGTACGACTCCAGAGCAACAAAGTCCTGTACCTTAAATCCTACATTTTTATCGCCACAAAAACACAACTACATTTTCTACTCATTAAAAAATATGAAGTAGGATCTTTAAAGATGTCAGAGATTGCTGTGAGGGTACAATGAAAAGCTGATCTCTCACGTAATAGACTCTTTAGTTGTCGATTTTGACGCTGCTGTTTCAATCTTGATAAATTTTCTGCGTCAGTTTCTTGACGCCTAAGTAAAATTGTATTTATTAGATACACTTGAAGTTTTTCTTCCAATTCACCCTCTTGCGACTTTTGGCATGATTAAAATTTGTGTGACCCCTAAAGGCTGTTTTCTGTCAACTTTGTTTAGTTCTAATATATTTGTTGGCAAGGTAGTTCGACGTCCGATGGTCCTAAAAAAGACCCGGTGAGCTTCTTAAGTTAACTCTTTCTTGACTGCAGTTAACAAAAATTGTGACTGCCTGGATACATCAGGGTGATCTTCTTTGGCTTGCTGTTGAAGACCCAAACTGATTGGGAGAAAAATTACAAAGTCCGAAGCTTTGGGACTAGTTGTAGTGCTCTTTTCCAACGTCTCCCGGTATAACGTCGAAGATGTTGGTGTCTAAAGCACCTTTTTTATTTGCAGATTCAGTTATTTTGGTGATCTTAGATGGGAAGATTGGTAAGTGATACTTGTCCAGTGGAGGCTGTCCTGTTGGCTCAAGTTTTTTTTCCTTCATAGCTGTTATAGGTTTGCCCAATGCAGACCTTGGAGAGGATCAGTGATTCCTGGTTGAATGCACATGTCGCCAATCTTGCCAATGTACGCTGCCATACGCAGAAAGCTACAGCTCTGCACAAATTTCTAAAAGTTTTTCAGAGCTCCCTTCTATTTGGTGAGTCTGTAGGATAGAGTGTTGTTCTATAAGTATGGAAGAATATTTCAGCTATACGCTATTATCTGTTAGGTATGACGAATAAGTGTTACTTCTGTAAAAAAAATTTTTGTACTTTTCTACATTTTTGTCTACATACAGAAATTTATACTTTCGCACGATGCACAAATGTTTTTTCCTTATGTTATAGTTCTGTGTACAGAACTATAGTCTTATGTATATATAAGGTTAGAAGAGGTGACTTATACGAACAATCATTTGTACGGAGGAGGTAACTATGCGGACAAATTAGGAATTTTGCTGACGTCCGGATTATTTTACCGTGTTATTATCATATGTGTTTAAAGCACGTACAGTATACATAAGTCACTTTTTTTAAACATATATGTATAGTGAAGCTTCGCCCCCTTTTGCGCTTCGTGCGCCAAC